CTTTTGCTTGTAACAAAAAATCCAGGAACAAAGGTTTTCTGGGATTTCATTCCAAAAGCACCAGGATCAATCACTTTGGCTAAATCATCTGTGTAGGTCCCATTTGCATGCTAGCTGAGAATATTCTACTTTTGTAAATGTTTCAAACTCAGACTCTCCAGTTTGGACTCTGGAACATTTCCCAGATTTCATGGATTTTTAACAATCCCTTGGTGAATCTATACTAGTTTACATTATTTTAACTGGATGTAGAGTCTTCTGAATTCTTCATATTGTAGTTTAGGAGTTCTGATGGGAGAAATATTAAGTAGTTAAAAGTCACAAGGGAATGCTTAATGCTAATCACTTTATTTACATAAATATCAATATAATGGCCTCCGTAGAGTTCCCATGTGCCCGTGCACGTGTGTGTTGCTTTCTAAACCAGATGTCTTTATCATTTTCTTTGTAATGCTTTCAAACTAAAATCTGCTTAAATTTTGTAGAAGTAAGTATATTTTGCAGAGTTTGTTTTTCACTACTCAACAAGCAAAAATAAGAGTTAGAAAAAGGATAAAATTACTATACGTTTTCTCAATTACCCATTTCAGAGGCATTATTTATCTCCTCAACCCTTATATAATGTGTTATGGATTCTCTGGGGCTGTAACTGACAATTACGAGTAGCCTTGCCCCAAAATCACAACTTGCAATACACTTTTTAACATTTTATGGTGTCATGGCAACAATAAAAGCAGGAAACAGCTTAGTAACTTTTCTAATAATGTACCTTTATTCTCACTCTGTTATTCATTCTCTTTCTCTCTTTCACCCTTCTTACTTCCTCTCTCCATCCCTTATTCAATCACAAATATATTAGATAGGATTTGTGAAGTCAACTGTAGTTCACAATTTTTAAAAAAGTTGTGAAGAGAATTCTGTAGATGGTCACAGGAATCTCTCGGGGACCAGAGAACTGGGGTTTGAGGCTAATTGGCAGGACACAATTCCTGTTTGATTATATCCCAGAATTGATCTTGCAGCTGAATTCAGACACCATGGCCTATACTAACAATGCCACTGATGACACCAATGCCGCTTGTCTCCGGTTAGAACTGCTCCACTCCTACACAGAGAAAAGAAGATGCACCTGCCCTGTCGCTATCTGTCCTAGAAAGGATGCTGCGTGACTCTCACTTCTTCACTGGCTTCAAATTAAAGTTTCAGAGCAGGTGCTTGAGTGTGAACTTCCAGTGAGTCGAGGCATGTAAGAAACTCAAATATTTGACTCCTCTGTGAGAGGAAGTTTTGCCTCCTGAATTGAAGAAGCCCCCACACATTGGACTTCTTGTGCACGTGCAGAATAACCTGAACCAACGGCAAATGTCCATACTACCAACTATAATCATGGATCCATTAAAGACAACTGCAAAAATGAGTCATTTAAGAATGGAAGTTTAAACTATAAACAACTAACAAAATATCTTTAATGGTTGTTCCTGAAAATAATAACACACTGCTAAAACACTTCAGTAAAATTTAATCTGTCTCAAAGCCAGTCTTCTGAACTAAATCCTCTTGGTTCTAACTTTGGAATCACACAGCTACACTTATTGTCCTCATAGTATTTTAGGGGCTCGTCTGCTATTATAGGAGAAATGCCAGTTGATGTTTCAGATCCATTAATGATAGGAAAAAAACCAAAGTGAATAAAATGAACCAAAATAAATAACACTTTCCTCCTTCACTTTAGACATTCTTCAGAAAAACCATGGTCATTAATTAATTTTTGTTCATCACACAGTAGTTTAACAAAAAATTATATCTTAGTTATTTTGATTCACATTTAAATGTAGAATACCTAAAAGAATATGATTCAGTCATATTATTTGGTATCAAAATAATGAAACACTCGCACTCTAGAAATGGCATTTCCATACTTACAAAGCAATGCATAATTATAGATTAAAGCATTTCTTTTGGAACTCCATAAACTATGGGATCACATTTAAAGAAACTTAACTCCTGGGATCAGTGAACTCTCTAAGTTGGATGATTCCCTTGGAATTAACCTATACTCTGAGCCACAAAGTGTGACTGAGTATAGCCCTTTCTAGTATATTAAGTATAAAAATCATCTAAAACTTTCTCTCTTATATTCAGTAATCAATATTCAAAATTTGGCTAGAGAATATTATAAACTTGCTTTTACTTTTTTCTCCTACCCCATCTGCATATACATGTAAATGAATACACACACTGGCACACCCACACACACCCCTAGGATCCAGAAGAGTAAAACCTACAATTTACTTTTAGTTCTCTCAGATTTAATTCCTTAAAAAAACCTGACTTCAAGTAAAAATAAGTCCAAATATAGCATGAATTTACAGCTGAACTCATGTCTTGAGCAGTGGATAGGTGACTTTGTAATTCTTTTAAACCAATTTGTATAACTAACCAACCCAATTATGAGAAAAACAAAGTGTGGCAAGGAGGTAATGGGTGGATGGTGGAAGTAGTCAGCGAGAGCAATAAGCTTTCAAATAATATCATTTACTTCTTTTATTAGGTTTTAAGAAACCATTTGGAAATCTATTTTGATAAATAAGTTATTGGCTACAGCCCCTTTAAAATTTATTTTAGACATTTTAATTTTATTGTACTGGCATTCCTCTTGCCCTTAAGGCATGGATAATCTGAAACAATACTGGCAGTTGTGCACTTATAGGACATAGAAATAATTGAATAAAAACTGAATTAATACGAAAGGACCTAGTACAGTATATCCATTAGGGCACAAACAACATTACTCTTCCCTAATATAAAATCTTCTTTCTATGGCTTAGATATTACTGTAGAGAAATAGAACACTGTATAATAACATTTAGAGCTTTTTCAATTTTAAGAAAGAAAACCTAAATTATTAAGTAACAGTTACTAAAGGAGTTAATCTTTTCTTTTGTCTCTCTATGCTCTGAAAGTATATATTGTCAACTTGATAGAACCTTCATGATATTTTCAGACTCTTGTGGATCATGCTGATGAGATAAACTGTGACACTCTCTTAAGAAAGTATGTAATGTAGGTTTGTTGGATTGGAACCACACAGTGACAGGAAGCTTCAGGTGATTCCTGAGGAATGGGGGTAGGATGGCACTTCCAAATTGTAACATTTTCATAAACTGTATGTTCTCTGAGGAGTTATTTATTATGATTCCTGCAGTATCAATCTGAACACTTCTTGTGAAACTTGCCACATTCCAAATCAATGCTCCATTTCCAAGACAACTCCCTGCTGTGCCACGGATTCTTCAAACAATTTCATCAAGTGATAGGTATCCTCTAATTCCTCTTTCATCTCATCATACTCTGGTTCACGAATTTTCAGTTCATGTTTTCTCACGTTTGTGAGAACTAGAACAGTTAGATCACTGCTAACTGGATAAGCGTTTAACCCTGGCCATCCGACAGCCCTTTCAGGATTTTAATGTTTTCCCCCTTGCCTCATATTCTTATACTTAAACCTATGTTATGATTTTACCAAGTGCTATTAAAAGAGTCACATCATGGATGATTCTAGTTCATTATCTTTATGAAAAGAGGTGGCAGATAAATTAACATTGTCTCACCTATACTTACAAAGTTGTGATGTTTCAGGGGCCTAAAATGAGGTAAGAGCAGCTGAGAGATGGTTTACCTATGCACTGGGTACATGATAACAAAGGAAGGATAAAGGCGATAGATCAAAGTAGTCAATCCTAAAGGAAATCAATCATGATATTCTTTGGAAGGTCTGATGCTGAAGCTGAAGCTCCAACACTTTGTCCACCTGATACAAAGAGCCAGCTCATTGGAAAAGACCCTGATGCTGGAAAAGATTGAAGGCAGAAGGAGAAGGGGACGACAGAGGATGAGATGTTTGAATGGCATCAGCAACTCAAGGGACATGAATTTGAGCAAACTCAAATAATGAAGGACAGGAAAGCCTGGAGTGCTGCAGTCCATGGGGTCACAAAAAGTCTAATATGACTTAGCAACTAAACAACAACAACAAAAGGAGATAGTATCTTGTTGAGAAACTAAATTTGAATGCCAAGCAGAACAACAACAAAAACAGGAAAAACACAGACCCTCTCAAAGATATAAATGGATAGTTGGGTAGAATTCTCTGTGCCAAAAGAATTTGGTTCGAGATTCTCTTTACAGGTTTTTATGCTTTCTGCCTGTGGCAAAATCTAAATTCTTAAAGGCAGTGAGCTAACTTGAATCTCACACCTCTCTCAGAAAACCCTAATTCCAAAAGCCTGGGGATGGATTTCTTCAGGTTTCCCAGTGGGTGATTTAGATCTGTCGTTGGATACTCTACCATGGATAAATAACTTTCCAGCTAATGAGGAATACAGTTACTAATTCTTTAAAAAGATTCTTTCTCTCCACTAATTTTATTTGCAAAATTTTGTCTTTAAGCCTCTCATGGAGCCTCAGAAATGAGGCTTCTAATCAGGGCACTGCTCCTATGAACCCTCTGTGCATTCATTTTAGAATCCTGTGCATCCAAGTTTCCTCATTAGGGCTTCCCTGGTCGCTCAGACAGTAAAGAATCTGCCTGTAACACAGAAGACAGAAGTTCAATCCCTGGGTTGGGAAGATCCCCTGGGGAAGGGAATGGCAACCCACTCCAATATTCTTGCCTGGAGAATTCCATGGACAGAGGAGGCTGGCAGGCTATGGTTCATGGTGTTGCAAAGAGTTGGACACAACTGCATGACTTTCACTTTCACTTTCCTCATCCGTAAAAGACAGAATAAGAATACTTACCCATCTATCACAAGGGGGCTTTGAAGATCAAATGCAATAATGTCCAAAAGGTGCTGGGTACAAAAATAAAACCTATAACAACATAAATTATAATTATGTTTCTCATTTTCTCTCTTAAGCATTCATTTACATCCCACCTCCTACCCTCATTTCTAAGGATAAGTGTACAGGAAGATGTGCCTTTGCCACTAACCCTTTGCTCAGGGTGTCCATGTCCCTGTGTCTTTAGATAAAGTTCTGCTCATTTTTCAGATCTCAGCTCAAGACTGACTTCTTTGGGAGGGTGACCTCAAGTCTAAATATAGGCCAGACTCTTTTCCTTAGAGGACTTAACTCGGATTTTAGTTAAACTTAGTTTTATGATTATTTGTCTAATATTTGTCTCCTGTATGAAGTATATGCATCACAAGAACATCAACCATGTATTTATTGATCATTTCTTTATTCTCCTTGCTTGCCATACTGTTTTGTTGAAGGTAGGTGTTTAAAAATATTAGTAGAATAAACTGAGTGAACACAAGAATAAATGTTGTCTTCAGAAGTCAATATAAGAATGACAAATTGAAAATATAAAAATGATATTTAATTTGGAAACTTGGAACTCATGTGTGAAATTAGGAAGAGCTAACTTAGCAAAGCATCCATAATGAAAGATGAAGAACAAGCATGAGGTGAAATGCAGTGACAGTGAATAGATAACTTGTTCAAATGTCTGACAATAAAAGAGAAAAAGGAGAAAGAGGGGATAAGGGAAAAAAGGAAAAAGGGAAGAAAGCAGTTGAAAGTTTTCTTCCCAAACCTAGTGAATATACTTTGTTTTAGGGTCACTGGATAAGTGGAATCAACAAGTCTAAAAGAACGTACTCCAAAACCTGCAGATGATTTAGAGGCAGAACTGGGGCATGGAGATGGCATAGGTTATGGCCTTAAGGCTGGCAGTTGCTTGTTTGGAAAGAGGACCAGCATAGAGGATGAAGATGAAGTACATCATTTTTGGAGAGTGTCTGTCATTGCCTTGTTAGTGTATCAAGGTAGTTGGCCTCCTTAAACATGATTCTGTAGTGCAGAGTGAATGGTGCCCTTCAGTGATCTTGCTACAGTGGAGTCTGGGTAAGAGGTTAGTTGATGTCAGATGGTGCAGGGCTCAGAAGAAGGTACAGTAGTCCTTCTGGTTGCTTAATGCACATAAAGCAAGTACTCATATATCACATATGTAGAGTCCTTAGGGGTCCTGTGTGTTGCTCTGAACAGGCTACAGTGGTGATGCAGGTAGTACAGACTTCACCAGCCTAGATAAATTGTCTCCCGTGTTCATATACCAAGTCTTATCAACAATGTCACTTGGACTCACTGCTCACTTTGGTCGTCTCAGTTGGTTTTAAACTAGGTTGCATCAATGCAAACTTGTCAATAAAAACAATTTCCAATGGTAGAGCCCCATTATACTTCAAAACTTTAGATTACAGTATCTTCCTCCCAGTTTTCCTGTCTGATTAAAGGGCTGCTTCTCTGTCTCCAGCTTGCTTGACATGAAATTCTAATGTTTTTCTTTAAGACCACTGTACTGTCATTTGTTGCCAGACATCTGACCTCTTAAAATCTCTAAGGCTTGGAGAAGTTGATGGCGAGAAATTCTCTCCCCACCCCTCCACCGGTGAAATAATTGGTCTCCAGCTTTCAGGAGAAGGCCTGGTTGGAGGCAGTCATTGGAGAGAAGGTCATTTTAGTCTCATTGCCTACACCAGTCACCAGAGGCTTTGGCTGTAATACAAATGGAGGGAAAGATTTTTAAAATGTAATGTTCCATCTCAATGCTAGTTAGATATCTACTGTATTCAAAACAAAGCCAAGTCTCCACATGACCAGTTCCTCACCCAGTGTTTTATTCAAAGAAATTCCATGCCTGTGTCTAAAAGTAATCTTAAAACATTTAGATGTTAAATGCAGTCTAGAGACAAAAAGGGGAGTTGGTTCCTCTGAGGTAAAGAAGGATTTCTTAAAGATTCAATTTCCCTAACTTTCAGAGTCTTAGAGAGTTTTCTGAACCTTCTCATCTCTTGCTAAAATCCCAGAAAATTCTTAACCTTCTCAGCCTGAGTGAAATCTTTTCTTTTCTCCTCCTCCCAGTCCCCTTTGGGCACCAGACCCATCATTGACTTTCCACACAAACAAACAAAAGTTGGTTTTGTGCTTCCCAATTTTCCTAGACAATCATCTCTCTGATTCTAAACAATCAGAGAAAGAACTGAGAAAGAACTAAGCAGAGGATCTGGAATTATCCCTAGCAGACAAAGAGGAAAAGTGTGAATTCTCTCTCTCTCTCTCTTTTTTTTTTTGTCATACAAGCTAATCCCCACATTTCTCATTTCTCCTGCAAATGAGTACATTGTATACATATAGACTCTGAAGTTGCACAGTTGCACCACCACATTTGTTTTGTCTTATTAAAATTAATTTTTATTGGAGTATAGTTAATTTACAATGTTGTGTTAGTTTCTGCTCTACAAGAAAGTGAATCAGCTATACATATACACATATCCATGGTCTTCCCAGGTGACACCAGTGGTAAAGAACCCGCCTGCCAATGCAGGAGGCATAAAAGACATAATTTTGATCCCTGGTTTGGGAAGATCCCCTGGAGGAGGGTATGGCAACCCACTCCAGTATTCTTGCCTGGAGAATCCCATGCAGAGAGGAGCCTGGCAGGCTGTAGTCCATAGGGTCACACAGATTCAGACAGGACTGAAGTGACTTAGCACATACGCATACAGTCTCATTTAGGTTTTTTTCCTATGTCAGTCATTACAGAGACCTGAATAGAGTTCCCTGTGTTATATAGTCGGTTTTTATTAGTTATCTATTTTATATATTGTAGTGCATATATGTCAATCCCAATCTCCCAGTTTATCCCCCACTCCTTCACAGATGTGGAAAACAAACTTATGCACTGGCCTCATTTGAATTCAAAGCTGCCAATACTGGATATTTGACTTGGAGCAAGTCTGGCAATTATCTCCTCACTCAGTGGAGTAAACAGCTACCACACAGGGAGGCTGAGAGGATTCCATGGATAACATATGAAGTTTCTGTTGTGAAAGGCACAGAGTTAGCTTGCAGCAAGAGCTAGTTTCCTTTGCAATAGGGCTTTGCTTGTGACAGCAATTATAACTGGCACTGTAATAATTATGATCATTATTTCAAAATTTTTTGATTGGGCACATAAAACAAGTTCAAAAATTTGTCCAAAGAGATTGGTCACTTCTACACTTGACCTTGAATTGTATAATGCATATGCTGCAATAAATTTTAAAAGGCTTAATATTTGAATACCAGAAAAATAAAGCAAAGAGAATAAATTTTAGCATGGTTGTTGGTAAATTCCTTACCACAGTTAAAACTGGATATTTTAATGAGGTGTTTTCTCTTATTTCATTACTTACGTTGACAAGAAAAATCCCTTGAACATGTATCGATGCTAAAATCTCACTTGGGGTACTATTTAATATCCTCATCTTTGAAAATTAAAAATCACCTCGCTCCTTACTGAATTTTGCTTGCTATTTGTTTCTTTTTGTAGCTCATTGTAAACGATTTGTTCAGTAAATGTGACATTACCATTAAAATTATTTTAAAATAGTTTGTTTACTTTTGCTTCAAAGGAAATAGTCAAATAATTTTCATACCAGCTTAATCCTCCAGTAGAGCAGTTCTAGTGTATTTTGCATTAATGTGTTTATATCTAAAAATGAAACAACATGCTGAGTCAGTAAGAAGAGAAGAAATCTTAAGCCATTAGGCATCTTTTTACTGAGCTGAAGAATTTACTTTTATGAATCAGTGTTCCACTAGAATAACTAATTGAATATGTATCAGAAATTCTTTTAAATCAAGATGTTTGTATTTTTCTTAAAGAATCATAGTTTGTGTCAAGATATTTTAATCAATTGAGTTCACATGGATGGATTGAATCTGTTTTAGTGTATGTTTTATTCAAGGAGAACTAATGATATTCTTCCACTCAGGGATTTAGGGAATGAAGCTGTTTGTTTATTAAAACAAAAACAGCAAAAATATCTCAGAGTAAATGCAACTCAAGCTGGAAAAATACTTTTGTATTTGAAAAGAGAAAGTCACTAATCATTTTTTTAAATAATGTGAGGAACCAGTAGGAGTGAATGCCATTTACAGGGATTTGAGAATGAAGAAGTGGAGAGGAAATACATGCAGGCAGTTTACTATCTCTTTGAAAATTATTCTCACTGGTAGCTTCAGGAAGGGCAAAGAGAGAAAAGAAAGGTTATGTTAGAATGTACTTGAATGTGTTTGTAGGCCAAGGGGAAGGTAGAAAAATTAATATTGATCCACACAGGTTAAACACCTGCCTGGCATTTGATATTAGCTGGAGGTGAAGCAGGGGTTTAATCCTATTTTCCTTTGACGGCGAGGACTACGTGGTAATTCACCCTTCACAGACTCCTGCCGTGCCCATAGGTGAAGGAGTGAGGGGAAAGAAAAGAAAACTCCATTGGCCACTACAGAGAAGTCTGGTGACTGCATCAGGTGCAAGTATAACTCCTAAAGTGATACACTGCCCTCAGTGATAGAAAAAAAATAGAAAAGCATTGGTAAAGTTATAGATAAGGATGAAGAAGAAAAAAAAAAAATGATAGGTGCTAACAGATGTTGTCTTTCCATATAAGTTTTAGAATTCATTTTTTAATATCTACAAAATCACTTCCTCAGAAATTTATGTCTTTATTGGAATTTAATGCTTGGGGGACACTGGAAAATAATTCAGAACATTTTTGAGTTGTGAGAATAGAACAGAACACAGAAAGGATAATGAACAAAGAAAAAGGCACTTATCTCTATTGGAGCCTCTACACTAATAAATGTTTGTTTACAACTAGCCTCTAGAAAGTTTGGGAGTGATGAGTGATGAGTGATGTTTGTCTCCTATGAGAACTGCTTTCTTAGCCAGGCTTCTTTTTGCACTCCATTCCAGTGTTCCATGGTGGCTCAGTGGTAAAGAACCTGCCTACCAATGCAGGAGATGTGGGTTCAGCCCCTGGGTTGGGAAGATCCCCTGAAGAAAGAAATTGCAACACACTCCAGTTTTCTTGCCTGGGAAATCCCATGGACAAAGGAGCCTGGAATGTCACAATCCACAGGGCTGCAAAAGAGTTGGACACTACTTAGCAACTGAACAACAACCAGTGTTCTGTTTATTAGAACATGGCCTGCTAAATGTCATCCTAATCCCCGGAATTACCTTGATAGCGTTCCCTTCCTTTAAATAAAATTTATATTTCCTCTTGCCATCTTCATTTCAGTTTACTTCTCTGTGAATTCCAAGGGTCCAGTATTATTTCCAGCAAACATTTCTCTGTAGTAAGAGAATGCTTTTAGAGACAATATCTTTGTCCTTGAATCTGATCGAACTGTGATTTCTTGGCGGGATTTCTAAAATTTCTGCTTTCTCAGTGGGTCACAGATGTGGAAGAGATCCCTAGAGTTCACTATTTTCATATTCTCTTCTTTCTAGGAACTGAGACAGATTACCCAGACTCCCTTGCAGTTAACTGAGGCTCCATGACTAAGGGCTGGCCAAGAAATATAGTAAAAAGTGATACATACTTTCAAGAGTGAATCACCATGACTCTTCCCCTTTCCACATAATTTTTTTTTTAATATTTTCTAATTGAGGTATAGTTGATTTATACTACTGTATTAGTTTCAGGTACATGATATAATGATTCAGTTTTTGTGAAGATAATATTCCATTATACATTACTATAAGATATTGGGTGTAATTCCCTGTGCTATACAGTAAATCCTTATTATTGATCTATTTTAAGTATAATAGCTTGTGTTTGTTAGTTCCATAACAAAAATTTGTCCTTCCCTCCCTCCCTGTCCCCAGATTGTGTTAAATGCATATAGATCAATTTTAGAACTGTTATGTTAAAATTATTGCATGTTCAGATTTTCATGATTTTTTTTGGTTTCATTTATTTTTATTAGTTGGAGGCTAATGACTTTACAATACTGTAGGGTTTTTGCCATACATTGACATGAATCAGCCATGAATTTGCATGTGTTCCCCATCCTGATCCCCCCTCCCACTTCCCTCCCCATCCCATCCCTCTGGGTCTTCCCAGTGCACCAGTCCTGAGCACTTCTCATGCATCCCACCTGGGCTGGTGATCTGTTTCACACTTGATAATATACATGTTTCAATGCTATTCTCTCAGATCATCCCACCCTCACCTTCTCCCATAGAGTCCAAAAGTTTGCTCTGTACATCTGTGTCTCTTCTTCTGTCCTGCATATAGGGTTATCATTACCATATTTTTAAATTCCATATATATGCATTAGTATACTGTATTGGTGTTTATCTTTCTGGCTTACTTCACTCTGTATAATGGGCTCCAGTTTCATCCATCTCATTAGAACTGATTCAAATGTATTCTTTTTAATGGCTGAGTAATATTCCACTGTGTATATGTACCATAGCTTTCTTATCCATTCATCTGCTGATGGGCAACTAGGTTGCTTCCATGTCCTGGCTATTATAAACAGTGCTGCGATGAACATTGGGGTACACGTGTCTCTTTCAGATCTGGTTTCCTCGGTGTGCATGCCCAGGAGTGGGATTGCTGAGTCATTTGGCAGTTCTATTTCATGATTTAATATGATGTTAGCTGTAGGCTTTATGCAAATATTCTTTATCAAACTGAAGAATTTCCCCTTGGTCCCTA